ATCATTATTCAAATTTAACACATGACAAGAGTTTCTCCCTAACTTAGCATGCAGAATCTAATATTTTAAAATCTCATATTCAGAAAAACTGAAATATTGGATACTCTGCACGTTCTTATGCCAATTTATAATCTGTAAATGGTTTCCCAATTAAATTCTGCATTAGATCTGGTATTTTGTTAAAATACAAAGTTATTTTTCACATAGGCACATATTGCTGCAGCCAAGTCTGTCATTCTTCTAGAGAAAAAATTATGCATAATTTCCAGTAAGAGGCATAAAGTATCTTGGAGTTGTTATCATCTTTGAAGCCAACTCTATGTATTGCATAGGGTTAAAAAGTTTGGTGATGTTTAGCAGGAAAACAGCTGGCAGGGAAAAGAATTCAACCATTAACACCTGTTTCCTTCTGTAATAAATCACCTTCCAGAATTATTGAGTTTTAGAACATTGCCCTCCAAAATAAAAGAGTGGTCCAACCTGATTGTTGCATTTCCAATCATTTTTGGAATACAAATAATCCATTTTGACAATCAACGTTGAGGTAATACATCAGCAGCAGAACATCTTGTACCAGTTTTTTTTTCTAAGTATAATATTTGTAGTAAATTTATTTGTCTTCCAATGAAATCTAGATGTCCAGCAATTACCAAGTGATTTCCTGAAAATCTGGCGGGTTCACGGGCATTCAAAGAGACATACTGCAACTTTCCAGTTTTTGCTTTACGTTTTTACTTGCTCCGATATTGATCACAGTTTTGCAGCTTGTAAAGCCTTCACCTAATTTCTCCCATTTACAGTAGACCAATTTTATATTCACTATGACACGAAGCACACTTGCAAAATACAATCAGCAGTGCATTAACAATTACAAAAGGTCACTTTCCTTGGAACAGCTTATGTCCTGTGGTACCTTTAATAGCCCAAATAACATCATCTGCCTATTCCATGTCCTTGGGAAGGAGTCAATAGGTGGATAAAAATGCCAAATCTGACTGTCTGTGCAATGAACTATAATTATTGGGAAAAAATCACCCACCAGTCAATTGCAAAAGACAGTTTTACCTGAAATAGTTTTCATCCTGCAACACAGTGGTAGGATTCAGCAGTTCACACCAGTTCGCTTCCAGAAGTCCAGTCTACGCCCACCGGAAGTGCATGGATGCCACTTCTGGAAGTCCGTTCTAGGCCTCGGAGGCCTGGAGGAGGTCCCCCCAGGCCTAGAACAGCCCGCCATAAATGCATGAATGCCACTTCCAGAAATCCGTTCTAGGCCTCAGGGGACCAGGCCTGCATTCAATAAGAGAACCAGTTGTTCAGGTATTTGAATCCCACCACTTCTGCAACAATATATTTAACACCATCGAACAACGACAGCTGCCTATCCTAGCTCCTTGGGAAGCAGTCAATAGGTGGATACAAATGCCAAATCCAGTCTGAACATCTGGCTGGCTAGGCAACCAACTAGAATAACAGCTGTTACTTTGCATGATTACTTTTTATTTCTTCTGTACATTGTCTTCTGTCTTTGAGGTGTAAGTTCATAAATGATACTCTCACTAAAGTCAGGGAATCATAATCCTAACATTGCATTTCATGCATTCTTTTGATTTCTTGAGCACCAAGCCTATTGCTGCAGCTAGTCACAGGGCCACCCATTTACTCAAGAGCATATAGTGGTGAGGACTATCCAGAATATACTCCAGGCTATATTTTTTTATTAGTTTTTTTAAGAAAAAGAAAGAAAAAGAAGAGCTAGCAGAGAGAGCCATTAGCAAATAACAAAAGCAAAGCCAAAGCAATAGTTAAAAGCAAGGGGTGGGGAGTCGGAAATGCAACTTATTTTATCTTATCTTTTCTCCTTTCAATCCAGATGCTTCAGGGCATAAGCTGATTGCCAGCTGAGGCACTGAAAAAAAAATCCCCATTGTATAGTACTACATAATTAGATGAATTGTGGGGGGTTGTAGGATTTGTCTGGAATAGGCAGCCTTAGCCACTGTCACAGACGGGAGGAGGATACTGGATTAGATGCATCATTAGTTTGGCCAGGCTGTGTCCTCCATGGCAGAGATTGTGAATAACAAGGTACCACTGGGCATGTCGGAATAATTAAAAAGGTTCAGTTTTGTCTGTCAAGCTGGCTTTACCTTAGCTTACCAGCTAAGTAACAGTATAAATGAATCAGGGCTTTGGCTACAATTTAACTATCAATATTAGAGGTCTGTCTCGCTGTATTTTATTTTCTAAAAATCTTGAGCTTGGGGGTGTATCTCTGAGTACATGTGCACACATTTTTCTTCGTCAGAGGCACAAATACAGAGAAAGCACAGGGACTCCAGAGTTTGCTTCTTCTCATTAGCCAGGCTGAGTGAAGTGCATATTCAAATTTAACTTCTCCTTTCCAGGAAACTCAAGCAAAATCAAATCATGTCCGATGATCATTGGTTCTGATGGGAGCCACTACTCGACAATTCCCCTCTAAAGAGCATTAAATTGTAAAAAGTAGAAGATTGCAGCCCTTCTTCAAACAATCTCGTTTCCATCTCAACTTCCTGCCTGCCTGCATCTCTTGCACAAAATAGTACTTTAATTGAGGTATCTTCTCTGACACTGATGCCCCCTTGTGCCTTCCAAAAAGACAGAAGGACAGGTCATTTCTAAAGTGCTTAACTGTCTAGATGGTCCTCCAGGCTATTCTGCCCCAATTTGCTACCCTCTACATACTCAGGAATTACAACTCCCATTAATTCCCACTTAACTTGACACCTTGAGGATCAGGTTGCAGAAAATTGTCTTCTGTGCTCAAGTCTAGTAATGTATCATTTGGCCCCCTGAGCTATACTGCTTTTTTGTTAGAGCTGGAACAATATTTTTATATGCAATGGCCTCTGTGGGAAGGAGAGAATAGGATTGATTGAATGGAGAGGAAATTTGTGCTAAATGGACGGAGCACTTTTGCTGACTTCTTGAGGTGGATCTGAGCTTTTCTTAAGGAAAAACCTGTCACCACCGTATTTCAAGAGTCTACCAGCGGCTGACTGAGTACATTTCCATTGAGTTCTAGATGTCTCCTCTCCGCCATAACATAGTAAAACTTTTAAAATAGGTTTTAAAGGTTCAGGAATCAGACTCTGAAGAAGCTGCTCCATCTGAATCAGTGGAATGTCAACCTCAGGAGATACCAAGCCAGGAATCAGCTAGGCTGGTCAAACACAGGTACCATCAGAACATCTGGATAAGTCAGATGATGATATACAGCTTCTAAGCCCTCGGACTCTACTCACAGAGTAGAGCAGAAAGCAGAGCAAGGGAGTGCTTCTCTTGGTTAAAGACAGCTGGCTGCAGCCTTGATTTTCAATCAATTACTCTGGTGGAAACAACTGTCTGATTTTCCGTGTGTGTGCGTGCATGCACATGCACATGTGTGTGTGTGGTGTGGTGTGAATCTTGGAACTCGACAAGCAGGCTATCTGCTGAATACTCAAGACAGACAAGGAAGCATGAAGTTTTGCAGAACGTAAGGATTTTGGAAATGATAAATTGGATAACTATTGAGAGGCAATTCTCAAACCATGAAATGAAAAACCAAATCAAGAGCTTGCATCTATAAAAGAAAATGTGCTTCTCTTTTTTCCAATACAAGTGAAAAATTGTTCTTTTTTCTCTTTCTCCCATATATCTTGGGGAGGGGGCATTGTAAAGGTAACATTGATGTTCTTTGCACAATATAGTTGGACATCAATGCTGCCTATTAGCAAATAACAAAAAAAAAATATGTAGAAATTCCATATATTTTCCTTGTATTTTAACTAAATAGACCAGTGATGAAGAAGTGTTGCATTTTATTATATTAAGATTAGTATTCATTTTTCCTGCTTATAGTTGACAGGAGAGAAGATACAATTGGATCAAATGCAGATTTGGCGTAGGTGCATGTCCTGAAAAAGAACATTCAGCAACTTTCCAGACCCCACTATTTAAATGTGAAAAGTAACCTTCTGCAAAAGTCTAAAATCAGCATATTTCTTTGCTCAGCCAAAGGGCAACAGTTCTTTTCTAAATTCATTTTGTTGTATTTAAAATGCAAATGATTTTCAAGAGTGAAAGAATAAAATCTTCTGTTAGAAGCAGATTTTTCTCCTCATTTTTTTTCTCTTAGCATGCAGGAATTATAGCATTTTACCTTTTTCCATCCAAGCTCTCTACAGGTATTTCTGGAGATAGCTAATTCCATTAGTTATAATGAAGAAGAAGAAACACACATTTATAATTCCACCCTCAGTAATGTAATGTGTGTATGATTGTGTAATAGCTGATGTAGGAGGACTGGCAGAGCCAGAGGGAAGGGTGAATCCCTACAAAGCCGCACGTGAACTAAGCCCAAGCCACCACCACCTTTGACTGCTGCTGAGCCTTATGTAACTCTAACCAAGTGTTGAGAAGATTCCTGTACATAGGCTTTTAGCAATAAATCAGTTAAACTGAACCTTCACACATGGACCTGATCTTTTGCACCAGATAGCCCAACTTTCTAATGTCTAAAACTGCACTCTGTCCAACATACTCTTCTTCAACCTGATGGTCCTCCAAATGTCTGAATGTCAATTCCCAGAATTCTTCTGCCAAGCAGGGAGATTGCTGAGGAATCTGGGAGTTAAAGTCTATATATTTGGAAGGTGCCAAGCTGAAGGAGACCTTTCCCCTTATTTGCACAGAATGTAGAGTTTAACCTTCATGCATTGTGTCCAGTGGTGGGATTCAAATATGTGAACAAACGGTTCTCTATGTGGATGCCGTTTCCGGAAGTCCATTCTGGGCTTGGGCAACAAAAAATTAGTTACCGGTCCTGCCGAAATGGTGCGAACTGGCTGAATCTCACCACTGATTGTATCAAACGGTGAAGAGAAGGGTTTTTTGTTATTTCAAGAGCTGAAATAACCAGGAGTCCAATGCTGCTTTGCATTCCCCTTAGAACAGCCCACAGGGAGTTGTGTTACCTGGCATATCTTGGCAGTGTCTCACTCCAGGGCATTCTTGGTAGTGTGGCTCCCACTGGGCTATCCAGCTTGCAACTCGGCTACGGCTTAAAGCAGTGACAGTTCTTTTTTTCAAGCCAGAAAGATTTTGAAATCTTTTGCTGTCTTACGTAATGTGCTAACTGCCCTCCTCCTGCCACGCAGTAATACTGCTGTTCTTGTTCTTGTTTTCCCCATTACCTAAAGATAGCAGAATAAATAAGAGGGGCTGTTTCCCCCGCCCCCAATGTTGTTTGACAGACCATCTCTTTACACCAGGACTGTCCATTTGGCTCCACATATGCTCACCTTTGATATTTGTAAATAAAGCAAATATTTATAATGGCTCAAAGTCTATCCAGTTTTGCAGAGAGGAAGCTCAACTCATTGTATTATCTCTTAAAGTTCTAACTGCTTTAAGAATGAAGATCTTCTTATTGGTGTGCAATGGTTTATTAGAATTAGTTGATTGCTTTTACTTAGCAATCATGGAATATGTAAATTTTCATTGCCATCTAGCAAAAAGCAAAAACTGGTTGAGAGATAAGCTACTCTTCTCAGTTACAAACAGCACAGTAGGAATGTATTGTGTATTGCTAGGATTTATGCGTAATGAAGTGTATTGTGAGTATAATGGTATAAGGGGAAAAGTATTCCTTTCCAATCAGAGAGTTGTATGTTATCCTCCACAGTGATTGGAGTAGCAAGATATACTAAATTAAATCATATGACTGTTGGGAAGAAATGCAGTTAGTTTCCATTTGAATGTGAACTTAATCTAATGCTGCATATTTAAACCAATATATCATAGCATTATGGAATGGTAGAATTGGAAGGGGCCACAAAAATATTTTGATGTAATCCTCTGCAACATGAAAGAAAAGCAATTAACTATCAATGAAGGGTAGTCATGAATTTTCCAGAGATGGAGAACCTATGATCTTCACAGATAGACCAATTGAAGCTTAAATATATTCAATAATAATTGTTCTCTTAATGAGGAAATGCATAATAATATACTTCAGAAGAGGTGAAAAAGATCTTAAAGATCTTAAACATCAGAAAAAGTGAAGAAGTTCTTAAAGTCCAAACTCTGTGGAGGAAATACCATCAAGGCGATTAATACCTGTGCAATTCCAGTTATTCCAACAGTAGGAATAGTGGACTGGACTCAAGCAGAATTAAAAGTTCTTAATAGGAAAACCAGAAAATAATTACAATGAAACATGCCCTTTATCCACAATAGAAGAGAGTGACTCCATTTGCCATGGAGGATAGGTGGATTTAGAATATTTTAAGTATACCAAACAGTTGAAATAGAAAAAAGGGCATTTGAAGAATATCTGAAGGACAGTGAAGGAGACGTAGTGAAGCTAATGAATCATGAAAGATTACTGAATACCAAAGAATCCAAACTGACCTATAAAAAATGAATAACAGAAAAGACACATGGCAAGGCAATGTATTATATGGCCAGTACATTTTTTAAAATAGCAGGCAAGGCAAGCAACAACAAGACTTGACAATGGCTAAGAGCAAGAAAGTTCAAGAAGATAGAGCGGCTAATTCTGGCTGCACAAGACCAAACCTTAATAACAAATGCATACAAAGCAAGAATTGAGAAGGTACCAACAGACAAAAAATTGCCACCTCTGCAACGAAACTGAAGAAACAGTGGACCACTTAGTTAGCTGCTCTCAAGATGATCCACAGACTGACTACAAATAACAGCCTGACGAAATAGTAACCAGGGTGCATTGGAATAGCAATAGCAATAGCACTTAGACTTATATAGTGCTTTAGACAGTTTTACAACACTCTCTAACTGGTTTACACAGGCAGCACATTGCCAGAAACAATCTGGGTCTTATTTGACTGATTTTGGAAGGATGGAAGGCTGACTTAGGATCAAATTGCTGGCAGTCGGCAGAGTTAGCCTGCAATACTGCATTCTAACCACTGTGTTGGAATACATTGTTGGAATGTATTTTGTGCAATGACTGCAGCAGTATCAGCCAGTAGATAGCAGTATTTATAAGTTTACATCTATACTATATAATACTAATAATACTAATAATAATAATAATAATAATAATTGGAAGTGACCTTGGAGGTCATCTAGTCCAACCCCCTGCTCAGGCAGGAAACCCTATACCATTTCAGACAAATGGCTGTCCAGTCTCTTCTTAAAAACTTCCAGTGTTGGATCATTCACTGCTTCTGGAGGCAGGTTGTTCCACTGGTTAATTGCTCTAACTGTCAGGAATTTCTCCTTAATTCTAGGTTGCTTCTCTCTTTGGTTAGTTTCCATCCGTTAGTTGCCCTGCCTTCAGGTTCTTTGACTCCCTCTTCTTTGTGGCAGCTGCTGAGATATTGGAACACTGCTATACCTCGTCCTTCTCTTCATTAAACTAGACATACCCAATTCCAGCAACCGTTCCTTATATGTTTCAGCCTCCAATCTCCTAATCATTTTTGTTGCTCTTCCCTGTACTCTTTCTAGAGTCTCAACATCTTTTTTACATCATGGTGACCAAAACTGGATGCAGTATTCCAAGTGTGACCTTACCAAGGCATTGTAAAGTGGTATTAATACTACATGTGATCTTGATTCTATCCCTCTCTTAATGCAGCCCAGCACTGTGTTGGCTTTTTTGGCAGCTGCAGCAAACTGCTGGTTTCTATTTAAGTGATTGTCCACCAGGACTCCAAGATCCCTCTCACAGTTACTACTATTGAGCAAGGTAACACCTATACTATACCTGTACATTTGTTTTTTCTTGCCTAAATGTAGAACCTTACATTTTTCACCATTTAATTTCATTTTGTTAAATAGACCCCAGTGTTCAAGTTTGTCCAGATCCTCCTGTATCTTAAGCCTATCTTCTGCCAGCTTGGTGTTGTCCACAAGATATTCTATGTCTTTTTTTTCTGAGTAGAGTTTCCTGTTTCCTTTCTAACAGCTAAGCAGTAAAACACATGACGACTGTGCACTTTGTTTTGTAGGAAATAACGCTTGCCTGCGAGCAAAAAAATGGTTGGGACCACAAAATAGAAAAATAATAGAAAACAAAGAAGCTAAAGTGCTCTGTAATTTTAGAATTCAAATAGGCAAGCATCTATCACTTAACTTTCCAGACTTGGTCATTGTTGATACAGAGAAAAAAATCTGGATAGTGGACACTGCATCACCTGGACACAGCAGAAGAGAAGAGAAGCAACTGCAGAAAACCATAAAATATAAAAACCTCCAAGTAGAAGTAGAACAACAGAAGAAAGCAAAGATAGTATCACTAGTAATATTCACCTTGGAAGAAAAACTGCCCCAAAAACAGTAACTGTGAGAGGTCTCTTGAAGTCCTAGTGGACGATCACTTGACTATGAGCCAGCAATGTGCAGCAGCCACCAAAAAAGCTAATACAATCCTGGGTTGTATAAACAGAAGCATAGAATCAAGATCATGTGAAGTATTAGTACCGCTTTATAAAATCATAGTGAGACCACACTATTGCAAACAATTTTGGTCATTCTACAAAAAAGATGTTGGGACCTTGGAAAAAGTTCAGAGAAGAGCAACTAAGATGATCAAAGGCCTGGAGACTAAAACATATGAAGAACGGCTACAGGACTTTGGTTTGGCTAGTCTAAAGAAAAGAAGAAATAGGGGCGACATGATAGCAGTATTCCACTATTTGAGGGGCTGCCACAAAGAAAAGGAAGTCAAATTATTCTCCAAAGCACCAGAGGGCAGGACAAGAAACAATGGTTGGAAACTGATCAAAGAGAGAAGCAACCTGGAATTAAGGAAAATGTTCCTAACAGTGAGAACAATTAACCAGTGGAACAGCTTGCCTTCAGAAATCGTTAGCGCTCCATCACTGGAGGTTTTTAAGAAGGGACTGGACAGTCACTTGTCTGAGATGGTATAGGTTCTCCTGCTTGAGTGAAGGGCTGGGCTAGAAGACCTCCAAGATCTCTTCCAGCTATTCTGTTCTGTTCGAAATATATACCAGGAAAAATTCTGTACAAAGTTATGAAAATAATATGCAAACACTTCAGCAAAAATTGTTTCTTCAAAGCTGTGTACCTTAAACAAAACTTCAAGCAAATGGTGCATATTTTAGAAAACTATGTACCAAAATACATACAAATGTTATTCCTAACAAAAAAACAAAACCTTATGTTGACAAACTGAACCTGACACAAAAAGGAAACTGAACTGAATTTGGCAACTTCCCTCTTGTCTGAACTATAGTACTGCTGTATTATAAATTATTAGTAATGCTAACAATTTTATTAATTAAGAAACCCGGAAACTAAATTTATTCCTAGTCTTATTGAGCCAAACTGTTATTGTGCATTCTCTTTCACATTTTTATATAACCTAAGGTTTATTGACAGGCCATAAGGAATACAGTCATGCGAAAAAGGAAGTACAAGAAAATAGCATTTGAAAGACTACTTCTCATTGAATGCCTGCTTCTGTCTATATAATAAGAAGCTAAGTAAATGACATTTTGGGGGGAGGGGAGAAAGATTGAAGAAATCAGACATGCAAATGCCAATTACATTGTCTCCAGATATTTTTTTTTCATAACTTATAATGATGGTAAACCATAATACTTAGTATGGGAACTAAAAACAAAAAACAAAACAATCCGCAGAAACAGAACGCAGTTTTTCTAAGATACTAATTTATAGCTTAGCGCAATAAAAACCATGATTTACTTATAAACAAATTCACTACTGAGTTTATAGATCTATATTTATATATGCTCTCATTATGATTTTTTTTTTGCAACTGGAAGCAATCTAGTTAGCATTTTGTGCATTTTTTAAAAAAAATCAACAACAGCAGGTAAAATATTCTGCAGGCAAAACACAGCAGCAGTGAGGGTGGGTGGGAAATAGAGAAATCTTGCATTTTTAATAATCAAGTTTCAGAAATGGGGAAGGGGAGAGACATTTGGCTGATTCTAATTGGAAAATCTAGCAGATTAGCCTGTTTTATTTGGAGATAATCAATATTAGCCATTCGAGCTTGCAGAACGTCCTCATGTTTGGGGCATCACAAACACACTT